TTCCAGTGAAATATATTTATGTTTGTGGTTGTAATGTGACAAAATATGGAAAAGTTCAAGGGGTATGAATACTTTTGCAAACCACTGTATATAGCGCTTTTCTATCCGTCCAGGACTCTTAAAGCGCTTCACACTACAATCTGTGTCCTCATTTACCCATTCACACAGCACTCTATTAGTCTCTACAAAGCTAGCATGTACTATCAACTATGGAGACTAATCAGTGCCAATCACATTTATACAGTGATGAATACCGGACCAACTACAGTCACAAAGACATATCTGAGCTCTCAACAATTCAGTAGTTATAATTCTAAGAAAAATAAATTACAGTAATCTAAACTGCTGATTCTAAATAAACGAGGTGGAAGAATGCTGTAGGTTTGAGTTAAAATCCGAAAGCCAATGTTAGAGCAGAAGATAAGGGGGACGTAAATCCAAGATTGTTTTATAAATAGGTTTATGTCAATAAAAGGGTAAGACAGTCCATTTGTGGTGGGTAAGAGCCACAAGACTGATTATAAGATTTAAGAACCCCTGTTATTCCTGAGTCCAACCAGTGAGAAGATTCGTACATATAAATCATGTCTCCATGGTCTAAGATGGACATAAATGTGGCAGCAACAAGATGTGTTCTGGCCCTTTTAAAAGATGGACATGATCTGATTCTAAAACTCAACATTAGCTTCAAGCTTTTCCCCCCCAGTTGTTGTATATGTAGAACAACCATAACGTCCCTCCTCTGGAGATGTCCAGACATCTGCCTCTCTGACTTTATCTCCCAGTCGTCCAGCCTGTGCTGTCCTTCTCATCTCTTTCCTAATTGTATCCATCTTTACCCAATAAAACCCATTAAAACAGAAAAATTCTGTATAAATTAAAAGCCCAGTGTTGACAGTTTGAATTAAAGTTCCTTTTCTGAGAATAAAACAGAAAAGAATAAAGCACGAAACAAAAGTGTTTGAAGATTTTCTTTCTCCTTGTATTCATAGGTATCATGTTTTTCTTTCTGCCTTTCTTTCTAGAACATAGTGATTTCCACTCTGTTTAAGATCAACTGAGAATTTTCTATAGAATTAAAATCCTGCTTCTGTTTGTATTTCTGCAGCGAGGAGAGCTGGATGCTGAAAAAGCCTTTCTGGATCAGCAGGTGTGTTTGTTGGAGCAGCAGAGTCAGGAGAAGGCCTGCCGACTGGAAGAAAGCATCACTTCTTTACAGACAGACAAACAGACGCTTCTGTGCAGGCTTGTATGTTTGCTGCTTTATTTTTTCACCTTTTCCTCTTCATTGATTTTCTTGTTCTTGTTTAGTTGTTACCTGAGAGATGGGGCTGAAGCAGCTTGAAGTGGAACTATTTTTATTATAGAGTCACAACTTCAGTTTTTAATTGTGTGGACAAATCCTTGACACACTTCTTTCTGAATGTCAGGCTGACCTGGAGAAGCAGGTGATTGAGGTARACTCCAATTTAAAGCAGCAGACAGAAGAGCTGGAGAGCTGCAAGGTAAAGATAACTAAGATTCAAGTTTTAAAACCAACSATCTAAATAATCATTGAAATAAATCCGTATGAAACACGTTGAGGTGCTTTCATTTCAAAAGAGCAGAAGACATGTTTGTTAACTGAGTCTCGGTGTGCTCCCTCAGACGGAGCTGGACAGTCGGCTAACAATGAGTACTCAAATCACCAAATCTCTGGAAGAAACCAGGAAGCAGAAGGAGGAGCTGCAGAAACAGGTCTACATCAACACACATCAGCTAGCAGAAACCATCGTTATTCACATCATAATCATCTGGTAAAACTGAAGCACAGTCTTGAATGTGTCAGGATATAATAATAAAAATAATCAGGTTCCGGGTTCTAAACTTGTGTCAGTAAAGCCTCAGATAATTGTATTAATTAGGGTTGCCATATCAAATGAAGAGCAGAGGAAAGCACCTATTGTTATCCACCTCAGAAAAAGATCTCTATGCGTCATATCTTTTTTTACAGTCGTACATAAATACATATCAAAACGACCAGCTCGGCAGTGGGATATGTGCTAAAACTGCTATCAAAAAAATTCATAGAAATACACTGGGCTCAGCTCCCAACTGAGTTTAACTCATGTAACCTAGAGTGAGAGCTGTCTACTTTTCAAATATTTYTTAGTGAACAACTTCTTCCTACAGCCACAATATTCCTGAAATATAGACAAATTACACAGCAAAATGTAGGCATTTTGTTTTTCAGTTAATATTTCTGGTTTTGCTGTAGGACACAGTTTTCTCTCAAAGTGTGTCAGAAGTCAGGGAAGTATCACTTCCCTTCCTATACTGTACTTCTCTGTGGGAATTTTTTCTCTGTGGATCAGAAGCAAATTGACTATTTTTAACTTTTCATATCTCTGACATATTCACATCTCTGCATTGTACAAAATTGAAAATTTCCACAAATAAGAACCAATCTTTTCTGTCACTCACGGCTCAAGAATTATTTGAAAAGACCTTATAGTTTTCACACAGCAGCTGGTTGTTTGAGCTACACTTTTAGCAGGTTTATCGCGTTAAAAATGAAGTGCTGCAGATCCTTTCTGGCCCTCCTTGTAACAACGTCACAATCTGGCCTTCTGATTGGCTGAGGCTGTTACTGGGCTGAGTAACCTCTTGAGACAGAAAACAAAGAGGGTTTTGTGTAATTCAACATGGCACCCATGTTGCTCAGCTGTATTCAAGGGATCCACGATTAGTTGTAACATTAAACTTTATGTGATAAACATATATTTTTAACTGTAAAATAAAGACTGTAAAAATACTGTAGTCTGTTTAGTTTTGTAAATTTTTAAAAATACATTTTAACACGGATGGAGCCATTTTATTTACATGCAAAATCAGTGTGTGAATGTGAATGGGTGAATGTCTGTTAGTGTTAAGCGCTTTGGGGTCTGGAGGGACTTGAAAAGCGCTCTATAAGTTCAGTACCATTCACYATTTACCAAAGCATTCTGGGTAAATGACGATGTGGATAGGTCATTGGTGTGAGCGAGCTATATCCACCCTGAAGGTTAATCTTGGACAATATCTGACGATTGACTCTTTTGAAATAAACCAGAGAGTGTTGACAGAGAGGAGTAGGCAGAAACGATTCAGTCTACAACTGAAAATATGGATGGAGGACAACAGAGCTGCTTCATGGAAGAAGAACCTCAGCTTAGCCTGTTAGCTTTAGCGTTAGCCCCGACGCTATATTACCTTATATTTATTAGCTCGGGGCTAGGGTGACAAACTAACAAGCTAAACTGAGGTCTTCCATCTATAATTTCAGTTACAGGCTGGGTCATTTCTACCTTCTCCTCTCTGTCAACGCTCTCTGGTTTCATTTAAAAGAGTCAATCATCAGATATTGTCCAAGATTAACCTTCAGGGTGGAGATGGCGCCGGTGTGTGTGGCTGCTCGT